GTATGGTTGACATGTTCAGATGCTGCTCTAATCCTTGAGCATTTGTTATAAGAAGTAATTTAAAGTTTTTGAACTTTTAGCCGTTGAATTTATTTAACAAATGCACTAAGTGCATTGCATGAATGTCTGATATTTGTTGCGCATGTGCAATATTCAAAAAATCGAGTCGCGAATCGACGAGAGGAAAGCATATGTACCGTTTGTTATTAATCCATCAAATAGTCTTCGCATCGTAAGATTTAATAATTTAATATTTAATGCTACAGGGACTTGCATTCCGAAGCAGAAACATTATATTCGAAACTACAAAAAGCTTGCGACGATTTGATGGACGATTTTTCAGGAGCAACATCACCCCTGGAAGTGCAGGGAGCAGGTGCTCGCAAAAATGTTTCTCCAGAAGAAAGACAATTATCAACTGCTATTGTTAATGCAGAAAAGTAAATTGCATTTTTTTGCTATGCAACAGTAAATGTTTTTAACCTTTTTGTTATGTGTGTGTTTGAATAAAGGTCTTTCAAATGTTGTTTTCTTATCATAATAATCTTAGTACATGTAGATATGTTGAAAGTATGATGACTATAATTAATTTCAGATGAATTTCATTCCATAGTTCACCTGGAAATATAATAAAAGCTGATTTTGAAGTCATCAGCATTTTAGGTAGAGACATGATTATCTACAGCTATATACGTAAACTCCATATTTTGTGAAAATGACACCTAAAAAAGAATAAAGATCTAGATCACCATAGATCACTCTTATAAAAAAAACAAAATCTAATGAATTGAATTCTTAGAGTTCTATGTTAACAACAAACTATATTCATTGGCTTTGAAATTTGGAGATATTTTCGCTCTATTCTGTCTTACATTCATGTATACTCTTTATGTCCGCTTTTCACATTACATGATTCACGCTTCACGAAAAATAATAATGTTTTTATCATAATTCTCTTTCGGTTTTGTTTTTCAGATTGATTAATAAGGTTTCAGCAACACGGCGGTAAGCACGTTTAAATTGTATACAAACTCTTTTGATACTCCTTAAACGGATCGGAATAAACATAAGTTTGGTTTCACTGATTTGAGAGAGTTAACTATTAATAAAAATACATATTTGTATTTTACCATTTTCAGCGGGATAAAGGGCATTTACAGAAAGGCAGAAAAACAAAAACAAGAACAACAAATGCAAGATGCAGTGCAAAAGGTAGAACAACAATGGAAATCGAAGTAATCTCAAAATTACTATAAGTGCTTTTTACATAAAAAATAATTAGTTACTCTAAATATTAATTGAACACATTTATAACTAGTTTATACTATAATAACGTAGATAATATGTATACATAAATGTACAGAAACTGACAGAACCTTCAAAATGAAAGAAACATATATTTATTATCAAATTATGATAGAGGTCTTTTTAAGAAAGTATTACATAGTCCTTACTTTTTAGCACAAACACAGGATCAGGTTATTATCATGAATTTAATAACATTTATTTCAGGCAAAAAGTTTTTGTGATTTGCGAAACATTTTTTTATTACAGGTTTATTGACGTTATAGACTGGCTAAATACGCTGCTGCAGCAAATTTCTGACAGCAAATATGACGATAAAGTTTTTCTTAAGTCGAAAACCCTAGAGGGAAGTCGCGAGGAATTAAATAAATGCCATAATATCATTGTGGATTGTTGTAGAAAGCTGAAAAATGAAAATGATAGTAAAATGAGGTTAGAGTATTATATGTGTAAGATTTATTATTTCAATTTACTTAAATCTGTATCCACTTTTCGCTAGTTATGAAATTCATTCTATCGAAAAACTGATATTATATCTCTTAGGATTGTACTGTACACATGTACATGTAAAAGTCATGTTAATTTTCATACAATGTACATATATTTAACATTCTTTTTATAAAAATGCATCATTGATCATAATTTGAATAATGTGCTTAAATAAGAAGGCTATGATGGCCCTTGGTTCGCTCACATAAGACACATTTAAAGAAAATGTCAAAATTCTGCAATGCGGAAGTAATACTGCCGAAATAAGACTCTAAATTAGAAACTAACAAAGCTTTCTACAATGGTGCTACTGAAAGCCTGGTTTCGTGGCATTGCCATGTTTCTTGTTAATATAATATATTACACTACTTCATTTATGATACAGGTTGTAATGTACATCATGTTAAAATGAATTTGTGAATGTTATGCATTTTGATTTATTCTATAAACAATTATTATATCAATTTATATTTTCAAGTGCCAATAAAGAAATAACATTATTACTGAAAGAAATTAAAGAATGGAATGATGTCAAAACTATCAATGAAGCTAAAGAAGATTGTAAAGATACAGATGTAAAAGCATTTCGAGAAGGTCGTTTGCAGGTACATAAATGGAAAAAAGAGTTTAAAAGGTAAAACAATTTACATTTTCCGTAGCAGTTGGTAATCAGCCACTAATAAATGCATATACGAGAATGTATAAGCCTCTTCAAATGTTTTAATCGGTTATTTACGCAATTAAAACAGCAAAGTATTGAGTGATTTAACTTAATTTTCTTACAGTAAAACTGCATTTTGTTTCAAATAGCTTATGTAGCAGAAGCTTGTTAAGCCAATATAATGAGCATGTTTTCCATTTAATACTTTTTTACGATTATCTGAAGGGGTAACTTTTGCTTTAATAGTCATATTATTTGTGAGTCAATTAAGTTAGCAAAAAATGTTGACAATTATTATTATTATTATAGTTATTATTATTATTATTATTAAATTATTATATGGCATGACCAAAAGTTATTTTTAAATTTATCATTTACAACATTATATTTAGAAAGACATGCAAGAACAACAGAACATATCGTAAAAAATGTAGCATAGATTCCTAATTAAGACGAACAAACATTTTTGTATATTTTTTGTTTCATTTTAACAAAAACAAACAAAGCGATAGTTTAAGCGATAGAGCAACAGTCACTGATAGTTTAATTGTCGATATGATTATCTATAATTTTAAAAGCGCAAAACAAGAAGTTGATTGTCTTACAAAGGAGCTAAAGTCATGGGTTGAAGTGAAAGCTATTGACGGAGAAGTAGATTCTGACTGTGAATTAGCAAGATCGATTCGTTCAAATCGTTCCACAATTTTTGATAAAAAGTAAGAGCTTCAAAGGTAATTTATTTTTATATCTCATTTACCCATAGAAAGATGCGTTCAGTTTTATTTGACCTTTTGCCAATTTGAATGTCAGGACTAGTTAAGCTGTCATGACCTATTCTAACACGCTTCACACTTTTCCGTTATCAAACAGATAGGGCAAGCAAGTTTATTATTAAACAATTTTTACACAGAATTAAATAAATTGATTACACGTCATTCATACGTCAGATATATAGTCAATAACCCTGATGACGTCAGAAAAATTAATTGTTCGCTTATGTAGTTCAACAAATTTTAACCAATTATCTTTTCACTAAGATGCTAGAATGATAATACATATCAATCTTTCTTGTATTATAGTACAATAGTGCACGGTTTTCGTTCAGTTTCTTTGTAATTTATCCAGAATGCCGATATTCCGACGCATTGGAACTGCGGCCGTGCATTATTCTACAACAATACTTTCAATTTCTTATTTTTATTTCCTAATTGCATACATATGATGTTCTTCATCTTTGTTAATTAAATCATTGTGCTTGTGACAGTTGTGTTTTTTTTTAGCTGTTTCAAATATAATTATTATAATTCTTTGCTGTAAAAGGCATAATCCTTTGTGTTTAAATGATCCCATGTAGTTAAAAAAGATAAGTATGTTGAAATATTGTGTGGGACCACATCAGCGAAATATAACCAATTTAGTGTTTAAACCACGTGATATTCTGTTATGTATGCATCATATTACATGTATATAATTTATGTCTGACCGGTTGGTATCTCCAATATTATCATTGTTCAATTTTTAGAACATTAACTACATGTATGTACTAGAACTTTCTTAACTGTTGTAGAAAACTCATGCATTATATTTAGATAGAAATTTCCGGAATGATCTTTATTGTTGAAGTTGCTAGATTATGATATAACATAATAGACTTCTCTGGAATGTTCCTAGTTTATATATATATTACGGGATATTTTTCATTTGGGGTACCTTTTAAAGTCATCAGTGATCTTTAAGTCATCAGTTACCTTTTTTAGTCATCAGTGATCTTTTAAGTCATCAATATATTTGGAGTATTATTTAACTTGGAAATTAAGTGATTTATTGGAGCTTGGATTATTAATTATTCTTGTGGATTTTATTGTGGGAATTTATTCTAAAGTGTTCTTGGATTTAACTTGGATTTAACTGTGCTATTGAAAAAGGATCATTCCAGGATCAGACTAGACATTTGTAATTTTTATTTGGACTTCAGGTATTTGTAAAGATAATTTGTTATTTTATTTTTCTTTAATAATTTTTCTGTAATAAATTTGTTATTGTTACAAGTTTGTTGCTGGCTTTTCTTTCTCGTTACGCCTGGCTCGTAACAGAAATTGGGGGCTCGTCCGGGATTGAATATTTCTTTTTGGCTACATTATTGGAAATTATTACCGTTTATTATATAGTTTATTATTACCGTATTTACTCATCTGAGTTGATATCATAGTTGTTCTATTAAGTGTACCTTTCATTTTGAAATTTTTGAAACACATCACTTTCTGAGTTTAAAACCAGCAACAAGCAGTCATGTCTTTTAATTTAGAAAAGTTTGTAGCTGAACCTTCCCAGGAGGTATTAGATTTGGCTAAGAAAACTGATTTGCTCGATCTTGCAAAAAAGTATAATTTATTAGAAATTAAATCTTCAATGCGTAAACAAGAAATTAAAAATCTTCTGATTCATTATTTTGTGGATGAAGATATTTTTGGAGAAGATGCACTTTCTCACATTGTTGAAAAACACTCTGAAATTTCTGAAATTAAGATAAAAGAGCTTGAACTTCAATTTAAATTTGAACTAGAAAAAATGCAATTAGAAAAAGAAAGGGAAGAAAGACAGTTAGAAAAAGAAAGGGAAGAAAGGCAGTTACTGTTAGAAAAAGACAGGGAAGAAAAAGAAAGGGAAAGGCAGTTTGAAAAAGAAAGGGAAGAGAGAAAATTAGAAAAAGAAAGAGAAGAGAGAGAATTTCAGTTAAGAATGAGAGAATTAGAAATCAAAGAGAGAGCAAATCAGTTTGAACATAGAATAAATTCAAAATTTGATGTAACTAAAAATATTAGGCTTGTTCCACCTTTCCAAGAAAAAGAAGTTGATAAGTATTTTCTTCATTTTGAAAAGGTTGCTGAAAATTTAAAATGGCCAAGAGAGCACTGGACGTTACTTTTACAGAGCGTCTTAATTGGTAAAGCTCGTGAAATCTATACAAAACTTACTGTTGAACAAAGCTCTAATTATGATAATGTAAAAGAATTAATTCTGAAAGGTTATGAGTTAGTACCAGAGGCCTACAGGCAAAAATTCAGAAATTCTAAGAAAGAAATTGGTCAAACCCATGTCGAATTTGCAAGAGAAAAAGAACAACTTTTTGATCGGTGGTGTCTATCTAAGAAAATAAGTAAAAATCATGAAAAGCTCAGACAGCTCATGTTAGTTGAAGAGGAGTTTAAACGTTGTATTCACTCTGATGTTAAATCTTTCTTAGATGAAAAACAGGTTGAACTTTTAGAAGAAGCTGCCCGTTTAGCTGATGATTATTCTTTAACCCACAAAGTTTCATTTATAAATAAAGGGAAGTCCACACCCTCACATTTTAATTCCAAGTTCAGTTCTGGTAATCTATCTGGTTCATCTAGTCAGTCAAATACTCCCAAACCAAAGTCATCTGATGAACATAAAGGTCATAGTCCCTTATCTCGTCCTACATGCAATTATTGCAAGAAAACTGGACATCTTATTTCTGATTGCTTTACCTTAAAAAGGAGGCAACAACAACGTGATGAGGCCAAACCCACAGGTCTTACCACTTCAAGGTCTGAACCTCAGTCTTGTATTGATAACAATGCAATTTTGAAGGTCAAAGAACCCAAATCTGATTCTATAATGGAGATTTATGAACCATTCCTTTCGGAAGGTTCCGTGTCACTTATCGGTGATACTTGCCCACCTACTCCTATTAAAATTTTAAGAGACACAGGAGCTTCTCAATCTCTTATTTTAGCAGATACACTGCCTTTTTCTGAGAAGACTTCTTCTGGATCTAGTGTCCTTATTCAGGGTGTAGAGTGTGGTTTTTCTAATGTCCCTCTCCATAATATTTATTTGTCCTCAGATTTGGTAACTGGGCCAGTGGCTGTAGGTATAAGATCTTTCTTACCCTTTAAAGGTGTTCATTTATTGCTAGGTAATGACTTAGCTGGAGATAAGGTAGTGGTTAATCCACTTGTAACTGACACTCCTTGTGTGGATCAGATACCTGACCCCATTGAGCAGGAAATTCCTGACCTTTACCCTTCATGTGCAGTTACTCGAGCTATGGCTAAGAAGGCCATTCAAGAAGACAATTTTTGTTCAGATATTGACTTAGCTGATACTTTTATAGGTCAGTCTTTTGATAATGAAATAAATTTTTCTCACACTCCTACTCTGCCTGAAACTCAGACAGATTTTTCAATATCTGACTTCTCTACTCCAAGATCACAGCTTATCCAGGAACAACAAAATGATCCTGAGATTTCTGTCCTTTTTCAAAAGGCTTTTAGTGAAGATGAAGCTTTACAAGTCCCTGTTTGTTATTATGAAAAGAATGGGATTTTAATGAGAAAATGGCGACCGCCCGATGTCCCTGCTGAAGAGGAGTGGACAGTTAATCACCAAATTGTGGTCCCTAAATCATATCGCCAGGAAATATTAAGCTTGGCTCATGAAACACCCATGGCAGGTCATTTAGGTGTTAATAAAACCTACCATAAAATTCTCAGTCATTTTTATTGGCCTGGCCTTAAAGCAGATGTATCTAGGTACTGTAAATCTTGTCATACTTGTCAGATGGTTGGAAAACCTAACCAGACAATACCTAAAGCTCATTTACAGCCTATTCCTGCATTTGATGAACCTTTTAGTAGAGTTATTATTGACTGTGTAGGTCCATTACCAAAAACTAAATCAGGTTCTCAGTACTTATTAACTATTATGTGTGCTTCTACGCGCTTCCCTGAAGCTATTCCTTTAAGGAATATTAAAGCAAAAACTATTGTCAAGGCTCTTGTGAAGTTTTTCACATTTGTTGGTTTACCTAAATCAGTACAGTCTGATCAAGGGTCAAACTTTATGTCTGGTATTTTCCAGCAGGTCATGCACGAGTTAGGTATTACTCAATATAGGTCTTCAGCCTATCACCCTGAAAGTCAAGGTGCATTAGAAAGATTTCACCAGACTCTGAAAAATATGATAAGGTCATATTGTTTTGACACTGAAAAAGACTGGGACGAAGGCATCCATTTATTGTTATTTGCTGTAAGAGAATCTGTTCAGGAATCTCTTGGCTTCAGCCCTTTTGAATTAGTATTTGGTCACACTGTCCGAGGACCCTTAAAACTTCTAAAAGAGAAATTCCTGTCTGAAGATGACATATCTTTAAATTTGCTTCAGTATGTATCCGATTTTCGAAATAGGTTGACTAATGCATGTGAGTTAGCTAGGGTCAATTTAAAATCAACACAAAGTAAAATGAAATTAAGGTATGATGAGAATGCTCCGGAAAGAAGTTTTAACCCTGGTGATAGAGTACTTGCTCTTTTACCTATACCTCGAAAACCATTGCAGGCAAGATACTTTGGCCCTTATACTATTGAAAAGAAAGTCAGTGACCTTAATTATATCATTAATACTCCTGGGAGGCGAAAGCAAAAACAAATGTGTCACATAAATATGTTAAAAGAATATTTTGACAGAGATAGCACAATTAGTAAACCTATATCTGTTGTAAACTCTGTTCCACAAAATCAATGTTCAGTTGAATCTAATAGTTATGAAAATTTTGAAAAGTCTGATCCTGGTTCAGCAAAGCTTGAAAACTCTGATATTCTGAAAAATCTGGATGAAAAACTTGCTCACTTAGAACCGTCGAAACGAGATGAACTGAAACAGCTTATTTATGAATATGAACACTTATTTCCTGATATACCCACACGGACTGACAAAATACA